TAAAAAACATCAAAAAATATATGGAAATATATTTTCTTTTTTAAAAAGTATTTGTCTGTCTTTAAGATCCAAATTATTGGATCCACATTACCAGACTAGGTTTTTAAATGGAGAAGTTCCAAGTTGATGGTAGAATATTTAAAATATAAAATTCTAAGAAAGAGGTAAAATAATTTTCTCCTTTGGTGTTTTTCTCCCCTCAGGTGGGACTAGCAGCATGTCAGATTGCCAGAGCTTGTGGTTTGAAGGTTTTAGGTACAGCAGGAACTGAGGAGGGCATGAATATGATCCTGAGAAACGGTGCTCACCAAGCCTTTAATCATAGAGATCCGAATTACACTGAGAGAATTAAGGTAATTATTGTCTGGACTCAAGAATGCAGGCTGTGTTGTTCTTAACAAAATGTGAACAGTTGTTTGCAGAAGACTTTAAAGTACATTTATGTAGGAGCAACAGTGTACTGCCTTTTTCATTTCTACACAAGGAAAAACCTTCTCAGGCTGGAAGAGCCAAGCTTTCCTCACAGGCAGTGGCATTTAGAACTTGTTACATTCAGCAAATTCCAGTGTGGAATCACATCATAAATTACCACAATGAAATGTGCTACAGTTCAGCTAATTAGCTGTCAGCTGCACAAAGTACAAAGGCTGTACTGAAAATTTAAACAATAAGGTGTAGAATGGATACTTTCTGTAGTGTTTAAAATAAATGATGGTACTCAAGCACTAAAATAACATCCCGTGTCCTCTACAGGCGTGCACAGGGCCAGGGGGAATCGATATAATCATAGAAATGCTCTCGAATGTCAACCTGGATGCTGACTTGCAGCTGCTGTCCCGCGCAGGGAGGGTAATGGTGCGTGTTTGTTCCTGGGCCAGGAGGGTGGCAGGGTTTGTGTCCCTGGCAGGGAGGTGATGATGGCTGCTTGTGTCACTGATTTTGTGCATTCAGCATCACACTGAACAGCTCTGACTTGATGCTTTGGACTTCTTTGGGCAGGTTGTGGGCTGCAGAGGACGCGTTGAGATAAACCCAAGAGATACAATGAGCAAGGAGTCCAGCATAATTGGAGTGAGTCTGTTTCTTGCAACTGAGGTAAGAAACATTTCTATTTTAAAGTATGCTTTATTGGCTTGTTCCAGCACCTCTCTATTTACAGTTAAAATTATTTGTAGGAATGAAAGAACAATTACACTGTAACAAACTTATTAGTTAATTCCTTTATGTTTTGATTCAATCTCAGAACATCATAAAATATTTTCAAGTTGTGGAATTTGCTTTAATTCTTGCATATATTGTCAATACTATTCTAAAATGCATTGACCTTGTCATAAACACTATGTTTGTTACATGCAGGAGGAAAGGCATGAATGTGCCACAGCAGTCCTTGACGGCATAGGAGCTGGCTGGCTGAAACCTGTTGTGGGCTTGGAATATCCCCTGGAAAAAGTAGCCAAGGCTCATGAAGACATTATTTGTAGCAGTGGTGCCCGAGGAAAGATGGTGCTCCTTCTGTAAAGGAGCACTTTTTTTCCATCTATTTTGTAGCTGTTCTAACTGCACCTTTGCTTACATGGTTCACTGAATGTATGTTATAAACATACCTTTGATCAGGTTTGACTGTAGCAGAAAATGTTCACTTAGATGAATTAGTTAACATTTTCTTTTTATAATGAGCAGAGTTGCATTTACTAGAAAGTAATTTTGGTAGCTTTTTTCATGGATGTGGGAATATTTAATTTTCTCTGTTGGTGTGCTTTGTGCTGCAGGGGATGGTAGGGTTTGGTATGGTCCATGTGAAGGCAAAGTAAGGCCACTGTAGGCAACATAGAATGAAGCTGCTTTTTACAGATACACAAAATTAAATAGTTTTCTATGTGTGTTAATTAGAACTGTAAATTATTTTAGCCACAAAATTTGCATTCAAATTTTGTCACATGATTTACTTGAAATAAAAGCTTTTGTTGAGAAAATAATTCACTTTCTAGCTCAAAAGATGGGCAGAATCTCTCAAACATGAACTGTTTGGAGCAGAGGCATTTCTACTTGCCTAAGGCTGAAGTGACAGAGTCCTGGCTCATCCACAGGGACTGTCACTCTGGAGCTGCATGCTGGGATTTACCTCTTTGGAACTGATGATCGTGGCCAAAGCAGCTGGTTCCTAGATGGTAAATGGCTGGTTGTGAAGATTTCAGTTCTTCCTGTGACCTTTATTAAAAGTCTCCTGGATCCCTGGCTGCATGGAGAGTGGAGGCTGAATGGCTTTTGTGACACAGAGTTCCTGTGAAATTCCTGAGCTCTGTCCGCTGAAGTGGGCAGGGCACAGCCTCAGCACTAGGGCTTGTGTGCAGGTGTCATGTGGGGTCACTTTGCCATTAAACTGGGGTAATTTCATTGTGTCTTGTTCTCATGAACCTTAAATCCATTGTACAACCGATGATGTTGCCAGGAAAGATGATGGAATGTTTCTAAAGATAATGATTTCAATGTAGTGTTTCAGTGAGTGGTTTCTGAAAGCTGCTTGGGGAGAGAAGGACAAGGCCAGCTCAGCTGTGGGAAGGCAGGGACCATGTCTGCCAAGGTGCAGTGGGGTCCTTCCTCCTTCCAGGCTGTCCCAGGGGAATGAAACTGGTTTCCTTGTTTGTAGCACTTCCTACAGGAACAGGGAGCTGTGATTTTTAGCTGGAGATTTAAGTGATTCACATGGTGTCAGTGATGTGTGTAGGTGGTGTCTCAGCTGATTATCCAGGTGAAAGATGCTGACTGTTCCTGTTGTCTCAAGCAGAATGTGCCCTGAGCAGTGGTGCCCTGTTAGGAACCTGCTATTCCTCTTCACAACGCTGCTGGAGAAAGTAAAACATCTCTTAATATCAAAGTACTAAACAGAGGTTAAAAGTAATGGTTAACGATGGGTATGATTGTGGAGATTATGTGCATATAAAAGTATATACCTTTTCTCTATATTCTGTGTTCAAATATTAAATTATTTTTAATTCAGCCTTTATTTAGTAGGGGTCTATGACATGAGAGGCTGATGGTTTGCAGTGGCTTCTTTCTTGCTTAGTGCTGCCACTGCATCATGGATGATGTTTATAGGGGAAATTCAGTCTCACCGATTCTGTCCTCACCGTTGCTGTGCCAAGGGCCGTGGTTGTAGTGGAGTTTGTCACCAGAAGGTGTCAGAGCAGCTCTGCATTACCACATTGTCGCTGCTCTCTGCCAGCTGACCTGGCAGAATGGCACAGCAGGACTGGGACTGACTTGTTTGGAATATCATATAACGTTTATTCTTCTGTGAATTTCCAATGTATTGTATAAATATTTTTTTTTTAATTTTGGAAGAAGTGAATAGAACTAATGAGGTAGGAGTGAGGTGTGTCTGATTTGTGCAAGCCACCCATCAAGAGAATGTGTCATCCTGGAGAGTCTGTGGTTCGGCTCTCTTGTTGGGATATGCTGCCCCTTGGCAGTGCAGAAAAGGATGGAGGAAGAGGATGGGGGCCACAGACCAATGAATTTGGCAGGATAATTCTCTGTTTGTTGAGAATCATCTCCTGATTTGACTGGATGGGATTTTGGAAGCAGTGGTTCCCAGTCACAGCCTGCTTGGTGCTGCTCTGGCTGGTTGGAAGGGTTGAAGAGGCTCTTGTATTTGTGCTGACTTTGGCATCTGCATGAGAGATTCGGGGTTCAAAGGGAGGAGTTGTGTATGATGCAGGGGTGTGGAAAGTACTGTTCTATGTGTTTCTAAAACAGAAAAGAGTGGATTGTTCTGGAAAGCAGCTGCTCTTGGTTAGTCTCATCATGCTCCAAATAAATGCTGCCACATTTTCTAATTATTAAAAGTGTAATTGCCTCTCTGTTGTCATTGCCCTGTGTCTGTTCCTGACTTCTTCCTGTGCTGCAGGATGATACAGTAAGTTAGTGTGAGACTTTAATTATGGAGTTGGGAAGATAAAATATCAAGAGAATATTGATATCCTTAATAATTGCTCCCTTTACATAAAGCAGATCAATACTGAGTGTGGGTGGATCATGCCACAGAAAACTTGAGGATGGTGAAATCTAACATTTTGGAACAGATGCATTAGGAGGGAAGGTTGTCCCTTCTCTTCCTCACTGCAGGGATCTCCGCTCAGGTAAGTCACTCTGTGGCCCCTGGAAGCGTTAGCTTGTGAGTTTGTACTTCAGCTGGGGCTCACAAGAACTGCAGGAAGAAGGGAAAAACGAGCATGGAAGGGTGGTTGTATCTCCTTTATATCAGTAAATCAGGTGTTCATTTCCAATGCAATGGCATTCGATGCTTCCTGTCATCTGGACTAAGAGATGGAAATCAGGATTGATATTGGAAGTACATCCTGTTACCTCATGATCTATTTTTAAGTTCCCGTGTCTGTGTTGCATGAAAATGCTTTTTCCCTTTTCCTTTATTATTTTCCCTCTCCTCCCCTCCCCGTCCGGCGTTTCTGCAGCACCAGTGTCCCGCAGCCCCGCGCAGCTGGAGCCCTGTGCCCGGTTCTGGGCTCTTCGGCTTCTGTGACTCTGGGGCGGCGGGCGGAGCACCGGCCCCCTCCTGTCTCTGCCTCCCTCTTGTGTGTCTCTCCCTCCCTCCCGTCCCTCCCTCCCTCCCTCCCATCCCGTCTCTCCCGTCCCTCCCTCCCGTCTCTCCCG